CAAGGTGTATCCTTTATTTGTTTTGTGGAACAACAGAACAATTTCAAAGTCGGTAGCTTTCTTATTATTTTTATAAGGTAATGTATTCGTTCGATCATCGTTTTCACAACATCACTAAATCACAATGAAATTAATTTAAATATAGAATTGTTTTTAAAGCTCAAAGACATAAAATACAAAAAAGAGTGGACCAAAGGCAAATATGGCGGAAAAGTAGTGAAATTTGAGTTTAGATGGAAAAGAATGGACCAAAGGCAACGATGGCTCAAATTAGTGGAAAATAAATTTTTGATGGAATTCACCATACATATTATCATCCCAAAATACAAATTAAAATCAATCTTTAATTTTTAGAAATGGGAAAATTTGAAGACGAGGTACTTGGTGAAATGTTGCTCAGAAACAAATGGGACCAAACTCTCACATTTGATATCTAGTTGTTTCTATTAAAAATTTCAATTGAATTTGAATTGAAGATTATGCCACGTTTTATAAAAAAAGGCCAGTAAGGCCAAATGATTCAAGCGAAAGTGGACATATTAAAATTGATTTCAACCAATCAATTTTTCGATATCGAATGCAAGAACAGGGCCCCTGGACATGGTTTTCGGCAGACCTGCAACTCTAGGTTTATTGAATAGAGGCATGAATGTTTTAAATCTTCAATTCATTTCCATATATCGACGAACTTTGGCCATCAACTGGTCTAATCTCTTAAATATTTATGTCTTTGTTCAAGTCTTTAGAAAACCTATCACTGAAAGTAATACTTAATACTTAAGTTTCGAATTATTTTTTTTTTAGAATTTCAAAACAAAAATAAAATTAATTTAGCAAAAAAATTAACTATTCAAAAAAACATCAAAGGTTGACATAAGGCAATCAAAACTAAAAAATGTGTTGATTTCATAGTTTTTTCTTTTTAAGATGAGCTTAGTAAATATTTGTATGTGTGTGTGTGTTTGTTATTATAAAGATTAATGCATATTTCTATATATGTATGTATTTTCTTGTTGTCTTTGAAATAATAAATTTATTATGTTTTTTTTTTGTTTAGCAATTTTGCTTTAAAAGTAGCTTTTTTAGTTAAATCTCAGTTTTTTTTTTTTCATTTCAAAAATTCTTATTTCATTTTGGATTATTTTGGAAAATATTGATTTCCTCATTTTTGTTTTTTCATTTATGCTTCACAAGAGTTTCCTTGTTAAAAAAATATATCAAAAAAAGGTAATAATAACATTTTATAAATAATAGTTTTTCTTAAAAGATAAATAACACAGAATTTAAATCAAATAAAAAAAATTATAAACTAAATTTGTTTTATAAAGCAAAAATCATATGTATAACAATAATAAATTTGGTTTTGTTGTGGTTGTGTTTCTCTCCATATTTTTCATAAATTCATTTGGGAAAATAAAAATTATGAAATTAAAATATGAACAGAAAATGTATTTATGTATGTTTTATGTATTTGAAATGCTTCGTTTCCGTTTCGAAATTCCTTGTGACATCGTTTGTTTGTTTGCGTTTTTCTTTCATTTAATTTTCTGGAATGGTCATTAGAGTCTTTGAAAGCGAAGAATTTGTTGTTGTATTTGCATCAGAGTTAACGCTATTGTTCAGTGTCGTATTTGCCGATCCTCCTCCAGTGGTGTTATTGGCACTTTCATCTAAAAATAAATCAATTTCTGGTATAGGATCACGCCAATAGTTGAAGTTGGAAAATTCAAATGCAGCTGCTTCGTCGGGCTTAATGGGCGGAAATAGTTGATCAACAATGTAGGTCATGCTGCAATAGCTGGAATGGATATGGAAAAATGGAGTTATTAGATAAAGGTGTTACTAAATGGATTTGGTATATTCTTTAACTATTTATTTTTGAATTATGTTATAATTTATTACTAGTAAACAAACGTTGTTTTTATAAAAACAACAATAAAGGGATAAAGCCTGACCATTTTGCAAAAACAAAATTTTTTGCTATTAGTATTTTGAACAAATCCTTTCAGCATGGCTAGGGTAGTTGGCATCATAATAAAAAACTGATGAAAAAATGTATAAAGGACTTTAAGATCGGCCGGGCCCTCCAAAATGTGAAAATTTGAATTATAGTCAAATCGGTATTCTCACATTTATGTGAATATTGAAGATTTATTTAAGATGACTAAACCTACCCTTTAAAATCCCTGAATGTCAAATTACAGATATTTTGGTTGTAAATTGGTGGCTGATATATCAAAACTACCCAAAATCGGGAGGTACCGTACCATACAGTATTAACAATTTTAAATTACAGCTGATGGTGATTGGGAAATGGCTTCAGAAATTTCCACAATACCGAAAATTGGGTGGTATTATTATAAGGGGACTATATCATAAATTGGACATACATGTTTGTTTTTGCTGGGAGTTAAAATGACCACACTGAGAATCCGAAATGTCAAACTGCAGCTGATTTGGTTGGGAAATGGGGGCAGACATTTTCAAAATACACAAAATTGAAGGCATCGTTAAAAGCGGTTTATACCTAAGCCTAGATCTACATACAGGGTGAGATGAAAAAACTGCAAACAGCTTCAGACTGCAGTCATTTCAAAGCCACTCGTCCGACAGCTGTTCAAAATTATTCCAGTGACAGCTCATTATATTGTTTACAAGCGTACAAAAGCATTTTGGTGAGACTCTTACAAAAAAAAAAGTTATTCGTGATGGAATTCAAGCGTGATAGTGTGATTTCTTTATATTTGGCTGGAAAACCACAAGTGGCTATCGTTAGAGCACTCCAGCATTTAAATGTGAATAAATATTTTGTGTCTCGTACCATCGCTCGTTACCGTGATACTGGTAGCCCGACATCAAGGAAGTTGACGGAAGAAAACATCAACATCAGCAGAAATGGTTCGAAAAGTAAAGAAGCGACCGAAAAATGGCTCGTGAGCTGAACATATCGCAATATTCAATTCGGCAAATATTGAAAAATGAGCTCATTCATTGAAATTCCAAAAAGTGCAAGAACTTACACCGCAACAGAAAGAAAATAGACTCAAAAGAGCTAAAGAGTTGCTTCGCTTGGTCGAAAGTGGTAAACTGCCGAATTTGGTTTCCTTCGATGAGAAAGCATTCGTTGTCCAGCAGTTTGTAAACAAACAAACCAAGTGATCGTGTTTACTTGCCAAAGAGGTCAGCTGAAAATGCGCACCTTCGGTTGGTTGCCGGGGCTTGACGGCAATGTTGATGGTGTGGGCCGCCATAACAGCCGATGGTCGCTCTCCGCTCGTATTAATCGACCGTGGAGGGTGTAATAAAGCCTTGGGCATGCAAACATTTTTCCCGCAGACCTTGGACATTTCAATAGGGCTCAGCACCATCGAATGGTTACAAAATGAGATTCCTCGCTTAATTTCCAGCCCACAATGGCCACCAAAATCTCCGGATACCAATCCGTTTAACTATTTGTCTGGAGTATTTTGGAAATCAAGTTTGGCACTAAAAATACCGAAGTGTCGATCACCAAAAGCAAGCGCTTCGCCAGGAATGAGCCAAAATACCGCAGAGCAACATTCGGGCAGGGTGTGACGGTTTCATTGGCCGTTTGAAGGCCATAATTCGTGCCAAAGGTGACCAATTCGGACAAATCTAAACTTATTCTAAAATTTAATACCATTTCCGACAATTTTTGCTTCATTCAATAAAATGTAATTAAAATGTAAAAATTATGGCATTTGACTTTGTAGCAGTTCTTTTTTATCTCACCCTTTAGGATTTCCGACTAATACTGCAAGGTGAAATGGAATGACAGATTTAATATATTCTACATTTTTTAAAAAAATACTGAGACTTCAAAGAAAAAAGATAGTCAGACCTTGGACATCGATATTGTCCATGAGAAAAATCATAACTAGTTTTTTAATTAAAAAAACAATATTTTTTAATCAAATGACAATTCTTTAAACTTTCAAGATTGAGGAAGCCATATTTTTTACAACTAAATAGTTTTACAAATCAAAATGTTTTCGTGTAAACGCATCGGTTAAATTTAAGTAAACAAAATAAAAAATTGATATTTTATGTATACTTAGTAAGAAATTTGCAGATTCTATTTTGGGGATCGCTGAGAAATTCTTTATTCTTTGAAGTTTTTTTTTTTTTATAAAATTAAAGCTAAAGCCTACTTTTAGGCGCCTTAAAAAAAATTAAATTTTATTATAAATTAAATTTTATTATAAATTAAATTTTATTATATTGGAGGACTAGAATTAAACGTTGAAGTATAGGGACGGGATAATATTAATTGTCATTCGAAATTTTAAAGCATACTTTAAGGCGCTTTAAATAGATTAAAACATCCTACACAAATTATGTGGCATAAAAGCAAATGTAAACGCTTAAGGAGGGGTTAATATCCTATTTTTCTTCCATTTAATTATTCTTAGATTTTTTTTCTCGAATTTTAAAGCATATTTTTAGGCGCCTTAAATGAACAATACTTTAACTCGCACTCGATGTGTGCCGATATATAGCAAATTTGTTATAAATTGGCAAGAAGAAAACAGACATTTTGAATCATATTAGTGTCACAAGCTTATCGCCGGTCTTGGAGTAATGTGATGTTTTTAGTTTAAGTCTTTTATAGCATATTTTTGGGCGCAGTTTTAAGTTTCTACCTTCCTAACTCTTAAATCAAATTTTTGTATTTATTTCTTGCCAGAGAAAATATTTACCATTTAATGTGCGTATTTCGTAGCATGCTTTTAGGCACATTTTTATATTATCAAGTTTCTTAATTTTTGATTAAGCGTGTCTATATTATACTTCATAGTATGCTTTTAGGCGTAGTTTTAAATAGTGTAATTTTAATTTCTTTGTTTTTCTTTTCTTGTCAATCGTGGTATTTTTTAGGTGGTATTTTTCTATATTGCTTCATAATTTAATAATTGGCTCTCAGAAGAAACAAACGTATAATTCAATAATTCATTCAAATAAAACAAACAAAAAAAGAAAAAAATTTTTTAATAATTTATTTTACCAAACATTGTCATGGTGTGTGTTTATGTATATATTAGGGAGACGATGACAAAGCTAGCTAAATTAACTTATAACTTAGTTTTATAAATCATCACAATATTAAATATGTATTTACAATACATTCATATATTTTTTTTTTAAAAACTTTTTTTGTATACACATACAAACATAATTATTATTATGATAATTGTTTATTTAATTAAGGCAACTTTGTTTCGCTAAAATCATATACCAAAAAAAAAAAAAAAACGAAAAGTATAAAAATATAGAAAGCCCTTTTTGGAAACCTTTAAAACGTTTTACTTTTTTTGCTTTACAAAAAAACATAAAATTAAAAAGGTACTGAATGTAACGCTTCTTTGTTTTTTTATACTTATATAAAAATACAATATTTCTTACACACATATTGCACATAAATTAACATCAAAACTTAACAAGACTTATGGGACTAAATAATAACTTAAATACTATTCTGTAACTAATAAATGATATCGTTTACCGACAATACTTTTATTTTGTTGCAACTGCACATTTTTTAGTTGTTAACAATCTAAACGGAAATGGGAATAGTTGACACATCTTATAGGGTATAGATACATATATACTCTTATAGGATACAGATAGTTACACATAGCTGTGGACAATTGAAAATTGTTAATTTTAAAACACTTATAAATCTAAGGATAAAAGCAATTTAATTGCATACTAAAAAACCAGGTAAATAAATATCACAATTTTTGTTGTTGTTGATGTTAGTATTGCTGTAGTTGTTGTTTTGTTAAAAATATATTTGGGAGGTTTGTTCATATATCTTTTAATTTCCTTCCTTCCTTCTTTACTCTGCCTCTCTCTCTCACACAGAAATTGAGAGTATTGCAGGTGTTTGAATATGGTATCTTCAACACACCGAAGAAGTATTTAATATCACTTCATTCTTATTGTTGTTGCTATTGTTTAGCTGCGTATAGGTATCACTGCTGTGTAAACTATTATTATTGGTGGCTGCCGTTTCCATGGAGGTACTATTCATGCTTGTTGTCTCCGAGACATCAATGACAATACCATCGTCATCATCCAAATACTCATCACTGAAAATGTCATCTTCATCACTTTCGGTATCACTGAATTTCAACTCTTCCTCCTCCTCGTCGTCGTCAAAGACATCGGTCTTATAATCGAAATCATCATAGAGGGCAGGAAAATATTCATCAACTTCCAGGGATTGATTGATGTAACCACTGTAGCAGGTCAATGGATGTGTAGAGTAGAGGTTGTGGTAGTATTGTAGGTAGGTAGGTTGGTAGGTAATTCATAAAGTATTTTTTGTTTTTTTGAAAATTAAAAGAAACAAAATAATTTTGAAAAATAAAACAAAACAGAAATAAGTTTCGAAACAGATCAGAAAAGAAAACAGTTTTTTTTTTTCGTTTTGGTTCCATAAAATTAACAATAGCAAATGAGAGGAGAAAGCGGAAAACATAAAACAAGAGATTGATATAAAACAATATTGAGGTAAGATAAATGAGGTAAAGAGTTTAAATCAATGGAAAATCAAAAAAGGATTTTGAGTAGAAATAAAGGAAAAATATATAACTGAAAGTAAGTATGGGAATATAAATCTAAACTATATTATATACCATAACTGGCCTATATCCATTCGATCTTTCCGTATAGGGACATGTATTAAATACTAGCCAGAGGCTAAACTAGATTTGTAGAATTATGAATTTAATAATGGGGCGGAAGGGACAGGAAACAGCCTATTTCGAATCTTGATCGAATATTCCTTGAAACATTTATGGAATTCTTTTGAATTCATTTTTCCGACACAAAAAAGTAATACAAAACTATTTTCGTGTTTGTTTTTTTTTGTTTTTGCGTTATATTCATAGAGAAAAATTATAAATTTTACCTATTATTAAGTCAACGATTTAATGCAAATAGGATGTTATTAAAATATGCCTTTTTCAGGACCTTATGAGGACTGCTTCAAAAATAATTTTGCTGAGCAGTGCAGAGAGCCAAACTGCAAAACACCAAGGCCATATCCCTATCCAGGGATAAATATGGCTAGTAAACTCTTGGAAGAGTCGCTAAGTTTTGTCGGATACCGGACAATTGCAATATCGAGGAGAATGGGACAGCTGATAAATAAGTATAGCTAGCTCTCAGTTTACCGACATACACAAAGAAGTCTGCGCTATATGTTTACTATGCTTGTCCAAAAACAGACGCAGAAAGTTCTATTGAGAAGAAGCTACTGGGCTGTGATTATTGCAATGCAATTTCAATTCAAGTAGGCAGACACAGTAGCAGACAGACAAATTGCCCTAAAGTCCCTCAAAATATTCTCTGTTAAATCTAGGGGCTGCAAAAACTGGTACAAAGAGGGCATATACCCTCGGCTTGTAGAACTCAACCGGGAAATGGAAGCCTGATATTAAATACTATAGGCTTTACAAGGATGATAAGGTGTTAGAAGTTATATTCTCTGTCCCTATTCCCTGTTTTTTAACCGGAGGCAGAGGCTTTTGGCCGCTTTTAATTTTTCTCCCTCGGGTGTGTAAAAACTATGGCCCTAATCAAAATGCCTCAAATGGCTATGGAATAGGAGTAGAATATAGGAGGAGTTAGATACTATATTCTCTGTCGCTGACCCCATCTTTTAATTCGGAGGCTTGGACTGTTGGTCGTTTCTGAGTTATGATGTCTTGCCACATTTGGCATGGGGATTCTACGGCCCTAATCAGCTTCTCGTAAGAGTTTAAATTGATCGCTTCTGAGTTATATCTTAGCATATTTGGCATGGGGATTCTACGGTCCTGATCGTCTTCTTGTAAGAGTTCAAATAGATCTCTTCTGAGTTATAATATATTGGCACACTTGGCGTGGCGATTCTACGACTCAGGTCAGCTTCTTGTAAGAGTTCAAATTGATCGCTTCTGAGTTATAATATCTTAGCATATTTGGCGTGGGGATTCTATGGCCCAGGTCGGCTTATCGTAAGAGTTCAAATGACCATGGAATAAGGCTATCTTTTTTGCAGGTTTTCATATACGAACACGAGCTTCTCCTTCCGCCATTCTCTTTCTTATCTAATCTTTTCAGGATGAATAAAGCAGACCACAGTGGCCACTGAGTAACACTAGCTGTGTTTTCAGGTTAAGGACTATTTATTTATTATATTTAAGTATTCAAACATATTATCTACCACCGTACCCGACTTTCAAATCGACGTTATATGCCGGAGGTCACTATTGAGTTTCAATCACCACATTTTATTTGTGGATTATACGGCGTGGTCAGCTTCATAATTAACTATGGAATAGTCATAAAACTGTTGGTCGACAGAACCAGTGAAATCAACAGTCGGTGATTATATATGCCAATACTCAAGCGTCACTCAAGCAGTACTCAAGACTTCTACCACCAAATCTATAACACATGTGCCATAATCATTGCAATCTATTTGGCATACAAGCTAAAAAAACAAAATAATAATAATCTGAGATGTGCTTAACGATCAGAAATTTGCAGTGAAAAAGGAGGGACAAAATCTCACGATCACATTCAGAATTATGCTATCCTTCTCTGAGTTGGTACCCGTACCAATAACCTAACGAAATATAAAAATCCGTTTTCTGATATTCTCTAACACTAATATTCACTGGACCATTCTATATCTTCTTTAATGACTTTAAGGATAAAATGCTACGTTACTTATAATTGTCTTCTTTTTTATTTCTCTTTATAGCCGTATGGTTGTTGGGCGTTTTCCTGCTTAAAACGTTTTAAGATGAACAAAATAGACCAGTAGTTTTTCGAGAGGAGTAGTAGACAATTAGAGCAAGTAATGGTTTTTAATCTGCACTTGGAAACAAGTGAAGAGATTCGCTTAAAAAAGAAGATTAATAACTGATATAAATAAGGAAATAAGACCCAGATCGTATTTTTTAGAAATAATAAATTGGGTATTCAATCTATGGATAAAAAAAGATCAATGAAAAAAGCGAAGAAATTAATTTAAACCAAAAAGACGCTTAACGCGTAGCATAAATAACGGTATAACATCGATATTTTTTAGTAAATGGTAGTTTCTACTTTTTTTAAATTCACAACTCTTTTCTTTCTTTGGTAATTTCAGAATAAAAAACAATATTTTATTATTTATTTATTGAGACTTCATTCATTTCATTATTAATTTTTTTAGATTTTCGCCTAAGAAAGCTTTCATATTTTTGATTTTCCATTATTTAAACCTCTTTTCACACTTAAGACATAAGTTTTGCATACATGGAAATTAATGTAGCTTAAAAACTAATTGTATAATGATTTTTTTATAATGGTGATTCTTTTAATGAAATCATATGATGATTATTACAACGAGAAAATAATGATTTAATTTAAAATTATATTTTTGTACTTTTGTTAAGGTTAGAATAACTAACCTATCTTAGGTTTAATAGATTACATTTGATTACTTCTTTGTTTGTTTCTTCTTTTTTTTTTGTTTGGCCAATTATTTCGAGATGAGATGTGCATGAGCTGTACACATACTCTAGCACATGTGTTCATATGTTAACCTCCTAACCAATGGTGAGATTAAATGTGAGGATTACAATACAATACTCGTACGTAACATACATTACAAACACCTTATACAAAAATACATAAGAGTACAATACCATGATGCTTACAAAGCTAAGGTTTTGGAAGGCATTCATATTGATTGATTGGTTTTAGCATATTTTGGGATAATGATTATTAATCGTTTGCTTTCGACTTGTATTAAACAGTACACCATGTGAGGAGTGTGTGGTATTCAAGGAGAGAGATATATAAATGGAAATGCTTTGTTTATAGCACACAACAAGACCGACCTTACAAATAAAGGCAAATTTAAGAAAACAATGGTACTTACGAGGATTGGAATGTTTGAGTTAACTCATGTTTTAATTCTCCTTTGGTGTTAATTGTGAAGATGCGTTTAATGGGTATGCCAACAGCACGATAGGCCCAGACATCCTAGAAAATAAAAACATATTTATATTACATATATATTCTTAAAAGTCCCAATTAGACCTCTAACTTACATTTATACGATTACCATAACCAGCATAGAAGGGATCCTTGTTGGGGAACAAATCCCTGATATCCGAGAGGCAAGCAATTTTAAATTGTTCTGGTTTACGTTCAATCACCTCCCGGTGGAAGGCTGAGATCAATGATGTGGGATTCAATAGCAATGGGCCATCGGGCAGCTTCACATCACCCTGTCGAATTGAACGTAAATATTCACGGGTTGCCCGCGATTGGCCAATGGCACGAGCCGAAAGATATAACAGCTTATAGCCGTTTTGTTCGATTTTCGAGAATAGCTGGGCCACACCCAATTGGGCCCAATCCTTACCAACCATTGGTAAAATGTGACCCAAAACATCGGATTTTGTGATGGTACCATCGATGTCCGATATAACAACTTTATCACTGTGACGCCAACGGAAGAGATAGCACTTGCAACGTGTTGTGCCCTGATAGGCGGTGGTTACACTGAACTCAATTTCATTCATTCCCTCTTTGAGGTTGAGTTTTTTCTGAAAGCAAAAAAGAAAGGTTAATTTCTTCTCACCTTAAAGAAGTCTATCTTAAATCTGGTAGGGTTTCTCATAAAGGGTATCTGATGTCCAAATGGGGACAAAATTTGAAGGCTATGTTAGAAAATAGATTTGAACTTATTTGTGACGGATATATTTATTTAGTTTTCTATCGGGTTTAATGTGATTGCAGGTTAATGAGAACCCCCCTTTTCCCTCTACCATCTTTTCAAAGATATTTTCACCACTCTTTCTACTTTATCTCTTTATAATTCTTTACTATAATTCTTTAAGTTTTTTTTCAAAATTTACGGCTAGATCTAATTGTGGAGCAGTTGCCAAACAAGGCAGCTACACCTCCGTGACGTAGTCAAAAAACAATTGGGTGGATGGACATACTAAATGGAATCTATCCCGAACAGTCCTTTAATCCGTCCTTACGTCAGTGGGAAGCTTTTTGCTTCTTTCAAAATGTTCTACACTTTCCCTGTAGCCATAAATGTAAGGGTATCAAAAACGTATGATATTCTCCTACTTACAATGGCTTCCGAGCTAAGACGCAATGATTTCTTGTAGTGTTCATTCTTATTCTTATCCCCTGTGGATTCACTCTTCGACGAGGCCTGCGACAGATCTTCCATATTTTCCATAATGGCCGAGGTATTTTCGGCATTCATTGTGGAATCGGTTTTACTTAGAGTGCGATCACTGAAATCTGGGGAATTTGGACGTGATGTTTGGGTTGTGGCCACAGCGGTTTGGTCCAAATCTAAATAAGAGTACACAAAAACATTAAGAAATGAAAGTGTTTTTCTAAAAAAAAGTATTCACTTACTTTCTTGTTTGTCCTCAATTTTCACTGACTTTTGGCTATTGGCTGGTGCCACGGCCGCGGCTTGATTGACATTTTGTGAACGTCTCCAATACCACCAGGAACGTTTGGCTTGATTTTGAGTGCCTGTGGGTGTGCCAGCCTCGGCATCGGCCTTGTTGGCTGCCTCAGCAGCAACTGCGGCGGCAGCATCTTGTTTGGCATTGACCATAAGCTGTTCAATGGCATCCTTTTTTTTGGAATGAAATATTAAAAATATGTTAGGAGATCCAATTTTTAAATCTAAATCTACTAAATGCCACCTAGTGCACAAAGGAAAGATGTGTAATTCTTTTTCCAATTGGCATGATAGGTATGTTTGTGTGTTGTGTGTATATGAAAAGCAATGGGTGTGTGTGTGTGTATTCTGTATTATAACAAGACATTGATTACAACAACTTACATTAGTCAAAGGCTTCTGGAAAGTTATAATGGTCATGACAATTGGACATGCAGCCGCCCAGCTGTAATATTTACCATTAAGGCGGACCACTAAATTCGGCGATGAAAAGATGCTGGGATTTTCACAGACCTTTTTGTTTTGTTTTTGACGCAATACGAGACACGGGGCAGGCAAGTAGTGATCCACATTTGTTTGACAAAATTGCACACATCATGATTTTATCATCAAAGAGACAAATATTTTTTTTTGTTGCAAAGGGAAAGAAGGGAAATTTTAGGTGGGAGGAATTTTAATAAACGTTAGTTGTTTGCTTTGTTCAAAATGAGTAATTAGTATTGATTGTTGTTTGTTTTTTTCTGTAGTTAATATTGTCTTTAAATGAAATTGCAAATTTACTACTACGTTTTTCATACACAACAAATTTAGGTTTTGTTTTTTTAAATTAAAATTTTAAAGAAATTAATGTAATGTGAAGTATTTTTGGAAAATGAAATAAAATTTAGTTACAAAAATTTAAATGGCCCAAAAATATAAACAAATTTTATCGGCCTTAATTTTGAACGTCTGGTGGAAATAAATCATCTCTTGCCAAAAATAGTGTTGCCGGGAGTATTTGTGTTGTTGTATTCCGGGGAGTATGTGTTAGTATTAATTGTTAAGCCGGTATTTTATACCCTCCAAAATGGGAAAACCAAAAAATACAGTTTTTAATTATTAAATCGGGGGTTGCTTTATGTAGAAGCCATATGAAAACACACATTGCATCAGACTGATGCAATTTCTAAGCCACTCGTCCGACTCATTATATTGTTTACAAGTGTACAAAAGCATTTTGGCGAGACTCTTCCAGAAAATAAGTTATTCGTGATGGAATTACAGCGGGATAGTGCGATTTCTTTACATTTGGCTGATAAACCACAAGTGGCTATCGTTAGAGCACTCCAGCATTTAAATGTGAGTAAATCTTTTGTGTTTCGTAACATCGCTCGTTACCGTGATACTGGTTGTTGTTGTTGTAGCAGTAGTACATGTGTGTGTTTGTGTTCTGCTAATCTGGTTCCAGCTCCAGGTTTAGAAATTCGGCTACTTTAACTGGCTGTAGCCAGAGATCCTCTGGAGTGAGTTGGGTAGGTTTGGCTGAGCAATTAAAAAGGTGTAGCGTATTGTGCGGGCCTGTATCACACGCCGGGCAGGCGTCACGCACATCTTCATCAATTCGTGCCCAATACGAATTGAGGCGACTACACCATCCTGAACGTAATTGCGCCAAAACTACCCTGGTTTGTCTAGGCAGCTGACGTTCTTCGGCTGCAATGGATGGGGGTGGACTCCGAGGACGGCATTCACTTTATAACTGCTAATAGCATCCGCGACTGCATCGGTGTGAATGCCACTCAGACCTGCCTGATAGGCTTCTTGATCTAGAGGCTCTCTCTTGTAGCGCTGGACCTCCCTCTCTAGATCATGTATGTCCTTCCTGACACGCCTGGGTGGGGGAGAGTTGGGGTGGCTCTCACGGTAACACCCAAGCAGGTACTGCAACGAAAGCATATGATTATGCTGACGTAAGGGAAGGATTTTCGCCTCCTCATGTAGATGGTCCACTGGTGTCATGAGGAGGCACCCTGTCGCAGTTCTCAGGGCAGCGTTCTGGCAGGTCTGGATATTCTTCCACTGCGTAGCACTAGTATTCGCAGACCACACTGGAGCCGCATAGTTGACCACAGACCGACCTATCGCGTTATAAGAGGTCAACAAGGTTTCTTTGTCCGCACCCCAAGAGCTGCCGGCTAGCGCCTTGAGGACTTTGTTCCTACTTTTCATCTTGTCGCAGATAGCTGTGGCTTGCGCGGACGACTTGAACATGCTGTCGAACGTTACCCCAAGAATCTTGGGGTAGTTCGTGGTCGGTATTAAATTCCCCTCGACCTGAACATTCAGCTGTGTTCTCATCTCCGCAGACCATGTGGTAAAGAGTGTGGCCGTTGATTTCGTGGCGGATATTTTCATATTCCTCGCGTGGAAGTATGCGGCAAGCTCCGCGAGATAGGGGTTCAACCTTTCGCATATGTCATCGACCACTGGACCCGACGCCATGATCGTACAATCATCCGCATACGTTACGATCTCAATGCCGTCTGGAGGGCGAGGAATTCCGGAAAGGTAGAGGTTAAACAGTTCCGGAGATATCACCCCACCTTGGGGAACTCCCTGTTTCACTCTACGGGCTTTGGACTTCTTGTTCCGAAATTCCACGTACGACTGGCGTCCACACATATAGTTGATTATCCAACGTTTCAAACTTGGCCGGAGGGTAGTTCTCTGTACGTCCTCAAACAGTGTGGCATGATTGACCGTATCAAATGCCTTTGATAGGTCAAGGGCTACCAACACTGTTCTGTCACACGGCCTGTTCTGGTTTAGTCCTCTACTAATATGTGTGGAAATGGCGTGTAATGCTGTTGTGGTACTATGTTGTGGACGGAATCCATGCTGGTGGTTGGCAACTGCATAGCTTCCTCTAATGCTGGGGAGGAGTAAAGCCTCAAGAGTCTTTGCTACTGGCGACAAAAGCGAAATCGGCCTGTACGATTCGCCTTTACTGGCATCCTTGCCTGGCTTCAGTAGCGGGACCACCCGGCCCATTTTCCAGGTTTCGGGCACTATGTGGGTGGCTAGCGACAAATTGAGAACTTTTGTTAAGTACTCGACTCCCGGCGTATCCAGCTGCTTCAACATTACCATTGAGATTCCGTCCGGGCCCAACGCTTTGGATGTCTTAGCGTTACGGATGACATTTGCAACATCACCCATCGTAAACTGTGGTGGTTCCTCCTCGGCGGGAAGAGATCTGATACGACGTAGTACTCTTCGCTTCGCCCTATCACTCTCGGGGTGTTCGACAAATTGTCGGTTAAAATATTCCGCGCACCTCTTCGGATCAGTCACCGTTACGTCGTTAAAAGTGACTGAGGTCCTATCATCCTTTTTTCCAGGGTTCGAGAGCGACTTAACCGTTACCCACAGCTTACTCATATCGGTTCCAATGTTGCAGCACTTCAGATGGTCTAGCCACTTTTTCCTCTTATGCTCCTGTACCAACCGGTTGACTTCCACTGTCAAATCACTGATTCTAGGATCAGTAGGGTTGGTACGACGGAGATCATCACGCTCGTTTGCTAATCCCGCTGCCTCTGCTGGGAAGTTTGGTCTTATCTCGGTCTACCGTGATACTGGTAGTGTATCCCGACGTCAAGGAAGTGGACGGAAGATAACAGCAACATCAGCAGAAATGGTTCGAAGAGTAAAGAAGCGACTTGATCGAAACTTGCGTCGCAGTGGCCGAAAAACGGCTAGTGAGCTGAACATATCGCAATATTCCAAATATTAAAAAATGAGTTCGGGGTAAAGCCATTGAAATTCCAAATAGAAAATAGACTCAAGAGAACTAAAGAGATGCTTCGCTTGACCGAAAGTGGTGAACTGCTGAATTTGGTTTTCTCCGATGAGAAAACATTCTTTGTGCAGCAGTTTGTAAACAAACAAAATTATCTTTGGTTGGCCACCAGAACTCAAGCGCCGGCCATGGTGATGGTGTTGGCCACCATAACAGCCGATGGTCGCTTTCCACTCGTATTAATCGACCGTGGCATGAGAATAAATATTATCGCGAAAATATTCTGGAGGGTGTATTAAAGCCTTGGGCACGCAAACATATTGGCCGCAGACCTTGGAGATTCCAACAGGACTGTCAGCACACGCCACCCAAGAATGGTTACAAAATGAGGTTCCTCGCTTTATTTACAGCGCACAATGGCCACCAAAATCTCCGGATACCAATTCGTCGGAGTTTAATGTCGGGAGTATTTTGGAAAGTAAGGCTGGCACTAAAAAACACCAAAGTGTTGATCACCTCAAGCAAGCACTTCGCAGGGAATGGGCGAAAATACGACAGGGCAACATTCGGACAGCGTGTGACGGTTTTATTGGCCGTTTGAAGGCCATAATTCGTGCCAAAGATGACCAATTCGAACAAATCTAAACTTATTTTAAAATTTAATGTTATTTCCGATTTTTTGTGCATTCATTCAATAAAATTTAAAAACAAAAATTAAAAATTATAGCATTTGTCTTTTTTGCAGTTTTTTTTTATATCACCCTGTATGATTCTTATAGTTTTTCAAAGATGAGCTACTTTCTTCTTACTGCTGATCAGAAACGGATAGGATACGATAAGATAATTATATAAAATATTAATAATAATAATCCTCTAATAGACTTTAACAAGTCCCTATCAAAAAAAAAGTTTTCAAATGGTTGGTTTTATTGTTGAGCTGCTGCCCGAAAAAGGCACTTTTTTCATGGCCGCCTAGTTATATACAGATTGGATGTGAATTGATGCTCCTTTAAAACTTGAGTGTTCCCAAAACTTTCCCAAAAATAAAACAAATGACTCAGGAATTCTGCATTCGAAAATAAATAAAATACGAAAGGGGAAACGTTTCCATTAAAGAAACTATGTTAACGAGGCCGAGAAAGAGCTCCTTCACAAAAACCGAAATTATCTTTTATTTCTTATGTCAAGGAGAGCTTGCTAAATTCAATTTAAGACATGAAAAAATGTGGAGGGTATAAAAAATCGGTTAGTATAAAAAATTGTCCTGTCAACGAAAACAAATTATCAGCAGCATTTTTCACATGTGGGACAATCACAAAAATAATAAAAAAAAAATAATTAATAAAAAAAACAAAAGCAGGACAATTTGCACAGGTGCGTCAGCAGTGTTTGCGTATGGGTGTGTGTGTGTATGAAAAAGTAACAGTAGTAAAGTGCAAATAAAATTTCAATTTTGATCCATTAGTATAGAATTGAAATGGGCATTCCATACAAGATACAGATACATTGACAGAGGCAGGCAAACAAACAAAAGCATCCAAAAACTGATTTGAAAAACTTACATCCTTATATTTGATGGCATTGCGTTCAAATTCCTCATCCGAGGGATCACGATTTTCCTGTAGGCCACACAAGGACATGGCCACAAAGTCCAAATACCTGAAAAGAAAGAAAAATTAAGAATTAATTCAATTCTCCTTGGAAAACGATGGAGTAAACTCACTTTCCATCTGGCGCCTTGCCATCTTCATAGTCCGAGTCTAAGCTCTTTTGGCCCTCCAACGAACTGGGCGAATGTGGCAACGAAGTACCATTACCACTTTCACGATCATCATCCTGACCCTGTAAATTACCCACGGCTGGGGAGTTTTCTTTGGAAATTGAAGCTGAATTGGCATTCGGTATATACATGGCCAACATTTCGGGATCCATACCCTCGGCATCGGCCAAATAGATGCCACCATCATTACCCTGTTTACGCATTTTATTATTCTTCTTCATGAAATTAAACATGTTGCTCAACATGGAGTTGTGTTGAGCCTGGGCCCGAGCCGCCTGGCTGTCAGCATTTACATCGGGCTTTACCTCGGGCGTTGGCAACTCACCCCATTTCCATGAGGCTGACGATGTCATTAGATCACTATCCGTTTCCTTTTCCCTTAGCGATATTTCTAATTCGCTGTCACTCTGTATGGGCGATGAGGGGCGTCCTGCACCCCGACCAATGCCACAAGCACCATTACCACCCGATGAGGTAACTTCGGTATCCGAAAAGAAATGTATATCTAAATCATGTATACGTGAGGTGGTGGTGGGCGTGATGGGTGATGTTTTGCACTGTTGCTGCTGTTCCGAAGCTTGACTTTCATCACCAGCCAAGGCGGTAACAGCATCCACAGATTTTGGTGATGCCTCATCATTGGATGAATTATTAGTATTATTTGAGATCGATAGAGAGCTGGTGTCAGCATCTTCAGCTGCCTTATTAGAGTTGTTCTCCTCGGTGGTGGGGGTACCATCGACAGGGGTATTGCTACCCAGAGAACTACTGGAAGATGTTTTACGTTGAGCATTTTTCTTTTTCATTTGAGACTTCTTGCGGCGTTTCTTTTTACTCTTTGATTCCTCCTTAATGCTTTCGGTGTTGGAGGATAATTTTTGTTCCTGCACCTGTAAGTTGTTTTTATTGCTAACTGTGGTTGTTGCAGTTTCTGGTTTCTCAACATTTTGTGATGCTGCTGATGATGTTAAGGTGGTATCTAATGATTCCACAAGTGGCTGTTTGGTTTCTTCTACTGCATTTTTAGCTTCTGCCTCTTCTTTGGTCTCACTTTCCAGACGTTTTTCATCTGTTTGGGTGCTGTTACTCCAATCCTGGAAAACGAAGGAAAACATGGGTTGCTAAGTTGGGGTTTAAAAATTTATTTTAGTTAATTAAAAAAGAATCTAAGTTGAATGGACTGAAGCTACACCACTTTGGCCGTGCATTCAAAAATTAAATTCAAATAAATTCGCCATTTTTGATTCGAAATTGGATTAAATAGAAATATGAGCTATATTTAATGAAAAAACTGAAACCAACTTCAGACTGCTGTCATTTCTAAGCCACTCGTCCGACAGCTGTTAAAATTATTCCAGTGACAGCTCATTTTATTCCTTACAAGCGTACAAAAGCATTTTGGAGAGAATTTTCCAGAAAAAAGCGTGAAGCGTGATTTCTTTATATTTGGCTGGAAAAACACAAGTGGCTAACGTTAGAGCACTCCAGTATTTAAATGTGAATAAATCTTTTGTGTCTCGTGCCATCGCTCGTTACCATGATACTGCTAGCGTAGCCCGACGTCAAGGAAGTGGACAGAAGAAAACCGCAACATCAGCAAAAATGGTTCGAAAGCGACTTGATCGAAACCCGCTTCGCAGTGGCCGAAAAATGGATTCCATTCGGCAAATATTGAAAAATGAGCTCGGGGTAAAGCAATTGAAATTCCAAAAAGTGCAAGAACTTACACCACAACAGAAAGAAAATAGACTCAAAAGAGCTAAAGAGTTGCTTCTCTTGGCCGAAAGTGCTGAACTGCTGAATTTGGTTTTCTCCGCTCCGATGAGAAAACATTCGTTGTCCGGCTGCTTGTAAACAAACAAAATAATCGTGAAAATTTGCAACTTCGGTTGGCCACCAGAACTCAAGCACCGGCCATGGTGATGGTGTGGGCCGACATAACAGCCGATATTCGCTTTCCGCTCGAGTTAATCGACTTTGGCATCAGAATAAATGCCGAATATTATCCCGAAAATATTCTGGAGGGTGTATTAAAGCCTTGGACACGCAAACATTTTGGCCGCAGACCTTGGATATTCCAACAGGACTCTGCACCATTGCACTCAGCACGCGCCACCCAAGAATGGTTGCAAAATGAGGTTCATTTCCAGCGCGAGGAAACTCACCAAAATCTCCGGATACCAATTCATTGGACTATTGTGTCTGGAGTATTTTGGAAAGCAAGGTCGGCACTAAAAATACTAAAGTGTCGATCACCTTAAGCAAGCGCTTCGCCGGGCATGGGCCAAAATAACGCAGAGCAACATTCGGGCAGCGCGTAATGGTTTCATTGGCCGTTTGAAGGCCATAATTCGTGCCAAAGGTGACCAATTAAAACAAATCTAAACTTATTCTAACATTTGTTCCTATTTCCGACATTTTTTGCTTTCATTCAATAAAATTAAAAAAATATAAAAATTATGGCGTTTGACTTTGTTGCAGTTTTTTTTATCTTACCCTGTATATTCGATTCGAAATTGGATGAATTATTAAATATGAGCTATATTTAAATCTGTAGCATTTTAAATAAGATGTACTCATTTTTAGGAAAAAAATACTCCACTAATGGAAGATCTCTGCCTAGGGAAGATCTTTCATTAATAAGAGGCCAATAAAAGCCTTCCAAATTTAATTTCTAGTTTCCATGCAAATCTTTAATAGTTCTTTTATCTATGGAATACCCATTGGAGATAAACTTCCATGGAAAGCTTTAACAATTATTTTTATCGATAGAAGTAATTGTTTGCATTAGAAAGTTTTTTAAATGTCTTGGGGGTCTAAAGTATTTTAAGGTCCCAAAGACCTTATGCCACAGTCTGATGTTGGTTCAATTATCTATTTTTGATGTAGTTTCATTTATCTCTTTCTATTGCAATATGAGTCCAGTTGTCAGCCTTTACCTTATCCTTATCGATAGCATCGAATTGAAAGATTTCTTCATGTTCAGCCCATTCTTGACGCAATTTCTGTGTGGTGTACTCTTTGAGCTTTTCGCTAAGGTTACGCCTTTCCAAGGTGTTATCAGTGTGTCTGGAATAAGAAAAGGAACAATAACATTAGATTATCTCCATAAACAAAAAAAAAAAAAGAAAATAAAGAAACAAAAGAAATTATCATGCCAAAACAAAAACCACACAAAAAAGAAAGAAAGGTAACACATACACAACAATTTGGAAATATTCTTTTGTTTGGCGGTTTGAATTTTTTTTTTCTTTTTAGAACAAATTTGTTTTTTTTTTTGTTACTTTTAGAAATTAAAAATACTACCTTCTATGGCTATAATCTGAAATTTGATTCTCAAATTTATGCGATGGTTCATCGGACTCCTTAGCAGATTCTTTAGAGAAATCAATGGAATTACGTCGGGGCAATGGCAATGTCATGGGTATTTGCAGCGTATCACTAGCATTTCTATATTTTTTTCGATTTTTGAATGGATCCGTCAGCGTATACAGTAATTGTTGAGGTTGTTGGCAGTAGTTGTTGTTTTGTTTGGTGGTTTGTTGTAAAAAGTTTGTGAACGAACGATCGGTGAATGAATAGAAGAAAAAACGCAAGAAAAACAACAACAACGAGAAAATGAGGAAAAAAAGGAAAAAAAGTATTAAATAAAATAATAATGAATATTTAAGAAAATCATTCTAATATAAATAAATTGAAAAAAAAAACACATGATCTAATATTTACAATGCTATAGAGTGTGTTGAAACAAAAAATATGTGTATTTTTAAATATAATATACAAAAAATAAGTGTTCTTTGAATTACACCATTTTCCCAATTTTTTCAATTGGATGTATTTAGGGTATGTTTCTGTTTGGCGATAGAAAGGTAAATTCGAATGGAAAACACAAATTTAAATATGATTTCCAAATTTTTGATTTAAATTTTAAAAATTTAAAAAACTCATTTGAAATGGCGATTTGATTTCGCCTTCACTTTCGCATCGTCATACAGAAACAAGGCCATAACTTTTTAATTCAAATTAAGCTCTGTTGCAGAATTTGCAAGAATGTACTATCTTTTTTTTTGTGGCAATATTTTTACATTCCTGTAGATTCTGGAAACAGAGCATTATAAAATTATATTTTTCCATTTACATTCGGAAATGGTGTACTAAAATAATAATAAAAACCAATTTGTGTAATGTAAGCAGATGATTGTTTGTTTTATGTTTGCGTGTGTTTGTGTGGGAGTGAGTGAGTGAGGTGCAGGTAATTCTAATATATAATTCAATTGGGGATTTGATTTTTGCATAATTTTGTTCAATTTAAATTTTTAGACAGTACGAGCTCGAGGTTTGGAATTCTGTTTTGGTGTAACCCCCTTTTCTATGAAAGGAACGAATTATAAAGGAAACAGTTAACACTTCAAAATTTCATTGAACAAAAATTCAGCTACAGTATTTAGAAATTCTGTCGACAAAAAAGGGAGCGTAACGAGTTAAATAAAAAATTTACTCCTACTACTCCTTCAAAAATTTTCTACGTATGAATTCGGACAGCAAAAGTAGCCAGAGGTGGTCTCAGAAACCAAACACGCCTGGGAATTTCTTTAGAGAAGAATTTTATCTCTGGAGTTCAGTTATACGGGGTGAGATGAAAAAACTGCAATCAATTTCAGACTGCTTTCATTTCTAAGCCATTTGTCCGACAGCTGTTAAAATTATTCCAGTGACAGCTCATTATATTGTTTACAAGCGTATAAAGGCATTTTGGTGAGAATTTTCCAGAAAAAAAGTTATTCGTGATGGAATTCAAACTTGATAGTGTGATTTCTTTATATTTGGCTGGAAAACCACAAGTGGCTATCGTTAGAGCACTCCAGCATTTAAATATGAATAAAACTTTTGTGTCTCGTGCCATCGCTCGTTACCATGATACTGCTAGCGTAGCCCGACGTCAAGGAAGTGGACAGAAGAAAACAGTAGAAATGGTTCGAAAAGTAAAGAAGCGACTTGATCGCAACCCTCGTCACAGTGGCCGAAAAATGGCTCGTGATCTGAACATATAGCAATATTCCATTCGGCAAATGTTGAAAAATAAGCTCGAGGCAAAGCCATTGAAATAACTCAGACCGCAACAAAAAGAAAATAGACTGAAAAGAGCTAAAGAGTTGCTTCGCTTGGCCGAAAGCGGTGAACTGCCGAATTTGGTTTTACTCGATGAGAAAACATTCGTTTGCAGAGTTTGTAAACAAACAAAATGATCGTGTTTACTTGCCAAAGAGGTCTGCTGAAAATGTGCATCTTCAGTTGGCCACCAGAACTCAAGCACCGGCCATGGTGATGGTGTGGGCCGCCATAACAGCCGATGGTGGCTCTACGCTCGCATTAATCGTCCGTGGCATCAGAATAAATGCCGAATATTATCGCGAAAATATTCTGGAGGGTGTATTTTGGCTACAGACCTTGGACATTGCATCCAGACTCAGCACCATCGCACTCAGCACGCGCCACCCAAGAATGGTTACAAAATGAGGTTCCACGGATACCAATCCGTAGGACTATTGTGTCTGTAGTATTTTGGAAAGCAAAGTTGGCACTATACCAAAGTGTCGATCACCTCAAGCAAGCTCGTCGCCGGGAATGAGCCAAAATACCGTAGAGCAACATTCGGGCAGCGTGTGGCGGTTTCATTGGCAGTTTGAAGGCCATAATTCGTACCAACGTAACCAATTCGAACAAATCTAAATTAATTCTAAAATTTGATGTTATTTCCGACATTTTTTGCTTTCATTCAATAAAATTTGAAAAAATTTAAAAATTATGGCGTTTGACTTGGTTGCAGATTTTTATCTCACCCGTATGTTAAAAGATTACATTGTGGGATATTTTACTCGAAAAAGTCTAAATTTTGTTGGGTTTTCGAATTGCACTCCTGGCTGCCTTCTTGAAAGCAATGAGAACTCATTTCTTTTCCCCAACTAATTTTGTTTCTTTTTCAAAATCAAGCCCGTACTGTATATAAAATTGTTTCACAATTTCTTGTAATTACTTTGCCTGATCATTTTCGATTTGCTTGTGCTCTGGCTGTGCGCAACAGTTATAAGCGAGACAATGTGATATAAATGCTAGCATTTTTGTCTTTTTTCCGTTTTTTTCATGTAACATGCAATGTTAAACTTACTTATCTAAATCGTTGTCATTATCTAAACTAGTGCCATTTTTCAAATATTTTTCGGGAAAATGATTTGTGGGTATGGGCGATGTTGCCATATTATCTGGCAACTCTTCCACATCTTCTTCGGGGCATTCTTCAACAAAAAATGCTTCACCAGATTCACCGAGTTTCATGTGTATGTCGACCGGTTCGCCATTGATTTCAATATCAACCTGAAAATAAATAAAAAATAAAGGATTAGAATTAATTTTGAATGGGGAATTTAATTTAAGTTTTAAACAGAATTCTTATTTTAAGTCTCGGCATAACAATGAGTTAAGGAAATAAATTATATGTGGAAAGTGGGACAGGAAAAAATTAATCATTCTGTGCGCCATAACCATGTTATTCGATTTTTATTTTAAATTGGGTTTGATTGATTGTTATATTTTGTTTCTCTGGACTTTAAGGCCTTCTGAAGTATCGCCTCAAAAGGCTAAATAAGAGGCCCACAGTATAAGTTTTATTTTATTGTGGATTTCAAAGACCAATTTAATACATAGCTTGAGTATTTTTGTAGCATATTTTTAGGCGCTCCCAACAAATTTGAAAATAGGACATGACGACAATCTGGGTTAATTCAAGCCTACTCAAATACTCCCTTATCTGTAGGAGAATTTTTTATAAATGTTTCACAATTTCAGAAATAGAACTCCCCATGTGACATATTATTATGGAATTTGTTTCACACACATACATATTTCATTGAATTCCTTTTAAAATATGCGAAACTCAATGATTTGATTGCTGACTTATGTTAATTACTCAAAAGACAACAACAACTACTGTTTCGTTTCGTAACTTTTTTCCAATTTCCTTATCACCCAACTAATAAAATATTGCAAATATAAAGTAATTTTGCCGATAATTGTTTTGTTTTATTATCAGGCATGCCTGTTGTTATGATTAAACTATAAAAAGAAATACTTATGTTATTTTATCTCTAATCTAAATTGATGGGGAGGAAATATTGAACTTCAAACTATGTATAAATGCGAACTAGTTTGGGTTTTTGCGTGGTGGTTGTTTCATTCATTTTAGGGAAGAGGTGGATTTTACGTAAAATGACTCAAAAAGGGTAAAGGGGAGATTTTTTTTGAAATCGTCTGCGTTTAATTTTAAAAAGATATGACTAAAGCCGGAGAGCTTTTTTGTAAAACAAACAAAGGATTTTAGAGTGACTAAAGGGGAGAGTATATAAAAGGCTTTTTGGACTGGCTTTTGGCCATCGACTGGCTTCTCCGTAGAGAAACAAAGGAGTTTTAGGTTGACTTAGTTCGATTTTGCCCTTACGCTTCTTTGTTCTTTTCTGAAGAAGCCAGATGATTACTTAAGCCAGCCAAAGCCAGTTTCATGTATTCTCACTTTAATTTTAATTTGTGGGCCGGAATTGGAAAAAGTTAATCCTTTGTTCTTTTACCGAAAAGATAAATAATGACTTATGTCTCTTATGTATTCTTATCTTAAGACAACGAGGAGAGACTTTATACATAACATTGATTGGCAGTATTGCAGATGAAGGTGGTTGAGTCAGCGAATACGTAACTGGAACGGTTACAAACTCCCTTTAGAAAAGCTCTCCCTTTCACTCTGTCGTTGTATTCGTAGGGTTGGTGCCCTGGGCCGAAATGGCTACTTTTGTGCCATGTTTTGTATATTTTGCATGGAAAAGTAAAGTCTAAACTCTAACTCAAATGAATCGAAAATAGTTTAAGGCATTGATAAAGTCGCAATCTGGCTATTGATCTCCGAGAAGACTGTTAACAGTGAAAGTTGTTAAGGATTCAAGCGAAACTGGTTTCAACAAGTTAGAGATGAGAATTTTAGCTGGTAATACTCTTAGCTATCGCGTGGTCAGATCTGTTATTCTGGAATAAAATGATAGGGGTGTAGACTATGCGAGCATGAAGAAGATATAAAAGGAATTGTACAACTTTTTTGGATAACTCTCGTGACAAAGGATATGTCTCCTTTTGGGCTAAACAAGTGAGAGATTGTAGTCCGTGTTGATGTTTGTATTTGTCCCTTTGGAGTTAGATCTCTAATGCGCTAAGGAGAGTAGTAGGTGCAGACCACTTTCAGTTCTTAAATATAAAGAAATCCCTCACTTAGAAAGGACCTTCCATGGAGCAGTCATTTCAAATTGACTGATTTAAGATTGCGTTTCGAAATCAGCCATCAGGGTATTGGATTTTTGTAAAGACAAAAGTAGTCTAGGGGTCTTAAGAAAGATTTTTTTCTACAGTCCGTAGAAGATAACCAGAACCTGTCTCCTTTTTGACTAAACAAGTTGAAACGGGTTGATGTTTGAATTTGTCTCTTGAGAGTCAGATCTCTAATGTCAGATAACGATTAGAAGAGAAAAGCAGACCACTCTATGTTCTTGAATAAATAGAAATCTCTCATCTAAAAAGGACCACCGATAAAACCTTTCATAGAGCATTCATTTCAAATTGACTGAATTAAAATTGCATTTCGAAATCAGCTGTCAGGGTATTGGGTTTTTGTAAAGACAAAAGTAGTCTAGGGGTCTGAAGAAAGATTTGTTTTCTATAGTCCGTAGAAGCCCGTTTTTAGGAAACACTAGTTCTATAGATGACTAGAAATGTCTTCTATTTTATTTAAATCTCAGAAGATTGAGCATCCTTTCTTTACAAAAAGTAGACCTAAAGGACTGAAGATTTTTTTTCTATAAAAATTTTGACTTTTTTCTCTCAGAATGAGGTAGTTCGGAAACACTTGTACTCGTGGTTAAAATATCCATTAAACATTTTGGTGGGATGGTTCTCATCAAGACTTATATTGGACCTACGAACGCCTTCTGTGGGCCAATCATTAGAAAGAAAGTATTTTATGGGTCTTTAATGATTGAAGAGCTTTTACTAGCATTCCAAAGCGGGAAATGTTATTAGTTTTTCATATAACTTCTCGATTAAGGACTTTTTCGGATAGAAGATTTCAAATTATTTTATGAATAAAATAATGTTTTCTAGAATACAGTAGTGACAAAAATCTGTACTAGGTTAGGGAGTAGAAGGACTTTGTTGTGATTGTATGCCCTGAGTTCTTTAACCCGATATCACGCCGCAGATTTTTATACCCTACACCACATAGTGGTCTTAGTGCATACGTTTGTAACATGGAGAAGAGAGCGAGATAGACCCATAGTTACTTTTGAGAATCTTCATAAAATCACTTCCTGAGTCAATTTATGGATGTCAGTTCGTCTGTCCATGTATTTTTGTGAATAAAATACAGGTCGCATTTATTATCCGATTGAGATGACATTTTTCCAAACAATATTTGTTTTCCATAATGGTTTTTAGTGCAATTGGTCTTGCGATCCAAAGCCTACACAATATGAACTGTACATGTGGTGAGTTGTTTTGTCTTTTAGTATTCTCCACATTTAAGAATTATTGTAGGTCAGTTATGTAGAGGTCTAACGCTGATCCAATAATCCGAATGTACTACGTTATCGGTGGTTGTGGTTTCTTAGAAAGGTATGTTACTCCACCCTAAAATTTTCACTGTTATACACTAGGGTTTCTTGAATTGAAGTCTCATGTGGAGACATATCATTCCAAATCCATTCCTCCCATAAAAAACCCACCTGGACTCTGCAAAAATAATTCTTAATTTGTTTATATAACTCATTCAATACTCACCACTTTCTCGCGGCTCCTGAGCACTCCCAATTTGCCGAAACGTACATGAAATGGTGAACACTGGAACTCACCATCCGGCTGTTCAACGACAATAACATCAATGGCACCCGTCAATGTGGCACCATTGATTTCACTGTAGAATTCCTTAAAATTACTGAAAACTTTGACCAAACTATTCATTTTGTTGGTGGTTTTTGGTTTTTGGGTGCGCTTTAAGCTTCTAAATACGAAGAAATTACACGAAGATGAGAAATGTTATTCTTAGCACTGGTCTTCTATCGATTTCCGTATCCGTATCGGAACTTGACTTTCGTCTGTGCAAATGTAGTTATTGGTTTGACTGTCTGCTTAACCACCACCACTCCGGCCTTTGGTTAAGTCTATGGACAAATGAAACGTAAATTGGCTAATTTGTTGAGTTATGCAGCCAATATTGCTGCTGCTGCTGCTAATAATAATAAATAAATGTATGAAATACGAAAAAAAGTAAACTGCGACAGCAGCTGACGGCTATCGCATTTACTGCCGTTTGGCCGTTTGGTTTTTTTATGGCAAGTTCTGTTGTTATCGCTCCGCAAAAATCGATGATTACGTTTTATTGTGGTGTGATGTTATGCGTCAAAAGTCGTTGGTACTCCTCCTGTTGTGTGTGTGTTCCAAAACACCTCCTTTTCAATAGAAATTCCTCAATTATGATTACACTTTTTTATGAAGGCTAGTTTATTGTTCGGCAATTTCTTAGTTTATTTCTCGGCTTTTCCTTTTTTATTTCTTGGCCATTTTATGGAGGAGTAGGAGTTTTTGTTGGCTGATATCTATCGATCATTCGATATTTCTGCGGCTGATTAATTTCCACACAAGCTTTGCGGGCGATTAATATCTTTTTTTTTCTTTCAACGTTATTTTTTTGCAAAATTTTTCTTTTGTCTACGCTTTCAGCTGCTAATCTGTAAAGAAAATACAAAAAAAAATAAATGAAACAATAACATTATTAGTATGGGAAATTTGCAATAATTTGCCAATATTGGCCAATAATATTCAATACAAAATCGTAATGATAAGAAGTAGAATGGTTGTGTCAGACAACTTTGTAGTCATTTCTATATAGGTTAGTTGTACTAATTTTGTCAAAGTCCATTTGCTTGGTGAATCATCGTCGCCATCATCATCATCATCATCACCAGCGTTGGTACCAAAGATCTGTTACCACCTAGGCACAATTATTTTCCTTTGGGTGATATCAGACATTGGCATGGAAGACATCGGCTGTGTATTTTATAACCATAATCATATGGCTACAGAGGGTATATATCATTTGATATGGGCAAAACATGCCTTAAAGAATTAACGGTTTTAGACGCTTTTTGGACCAAATCCGACATTTGGAGTCGATCGAGTCCGTAGGTCCGTTTGGCAGGCTGCTGCGCACGATAACTCTCCAAGGTAGTATTCGATTTGGTCCAAACTTGGTCAATTGTAATATTATTATCGAACTTAGATCGAGTTCGGAGATTGACAATATCGGTCCACACCTTCTAGTACCTCGCCCACAAAAGCCGAGCATTTATTTTCTGTAAAAATTACAGAAAGGAGAAAGAATCATCCAACTTTTGGGCAAACTTTACAAATTGTAATATTTTTAAGTGCTAGATTAGGTGCGTAAATGTCGGTCCACAAAGGTTCAACATTTTTATACCCTAGACCACAAGGTGGTCAGGGTATTATGTCTCTGTGCATTTGTTTGTAACAGGCAAAAGAAACGAGATAGACCCATAGTTCCTTTTGATGATCTGCATAGAATCACATTCTGAGTCGATTTATGCATGTCCGTCCGTCCGTATGTCCATGTATTTTTGTAAACAAAGTGCAGTTCGCATTTATTGCCCTATCCAGATGAAATTTTGTACAAATCATTTGTTTGGCCCAAGGACGAACCTTATTGAAATGGGAGGTAATCGGTCAAAATTTCGATATAGCTCCAATATATATCTTCGTCCGATTTGCCTTTTATTGTGCACCAAACGTGTAATATCAGTCCGAATAGAATGGAATTTTGCACGTACAATCCGATTTGACCTGAAAAATTGACCTGCCAAATTTGATCGAAATCGGTTCAGATATAGCTATAGCTCGCATATATATTGTTCATCCGATTTGTTATTTTTTCCTCTGCAGCTGTAATATGCACTCTGTAACAACAATATTTGGGGAAATATATCAAATACAGCTCAGAAATACATTTGCTAAATTTTATCGAGATCGGTTCAGATTTAGATATAAGCTCCCATATACAACTTCGTCCGATTTACCTTTGATTGTGCACCAAACGTCTAATATTTGCCCAAATGGGATGAAATTTGGCACTTACGATCGAATTGAGTCTAGAAGCTAGTATGTCATATTTGGTAAAGATCGGTTCAGATATAGCTACAGCTCCCATATATACTGTTCGTCCGATTTGTTATATTTGTTACCTACAGCCGTAATATGCACTCCGTAACAACGATATTCAAGAAAACATATCAAATACAGCTCAGAAATATATTTACCAAATTTAATCGAGATCGGTTCAGATTTGAATGTAGCTCCCATATATAACTTCGTCCGATTTATCTTTGATTATGCACCAAACGTCTAATATTTGGCCAAATGGGATGAAATTTGGCACTTACGACCGAATTGAGTCTAGAAGTTAGTATGGCAAATTTGGTGAACATCGGTTCAGATATAGCTACAGCTCCCATATATACTGTTCGTCCGATTTGTTATATTTGTTATCCACAGCCGTAATATGCACTCCGTTACAACGATATTCGGAAAAATATATCAAATACAGCTCAGAAATATCTTTGCCAAATTTTATCGAGATCCTGTTCCGATTTGTATATAGCTCCCATATATATCTTTATCCGATTTCAAATTAATTATGCACCAAATGGGCAATACAAGTCCGAATTTAAAAGATACAAATGCTCCGACATATTTAGTCTTTTGAACTTTAAATTATAATTATAATCATAGCGTGTATGATTGAATTCTCCCATGAAAAACTTTTAATTGTTATGCGGAGCTTTACTAAATTAACAAAGTGGTGTAGGGCATCATAAAGTCAGCAGCCGCCCGACTTTCTTTACTGGTTGAATAATTATAACTCATACAAAATGTAAAATAAGAGTCAGGTTATCTTCAAGTTTCGGACATCTGAATATTTTTAACAACATAAGACCTGACATTAAGAACGGACAGAATGGACCATTCCTTCTAGTACTTCCCCCACAACGGGTCAAAATTGTTCGCAAAAGATGCTATGGTTGTGGATATAAAAATATTTTTAAAATGCTTTAATTATTTGTTGTTTTTTTTATTTATTAAAAAAAATTACAATAATCCTGGTCTTCAGAATTCCTAATCTTCCTGCCTTCCCCGGTCCTAATTTTTCTGTCCAAATACTGTCATTTTTATGTTTTTTTTGCGAAATTCTCTAATGCCAATATGGCTACCCAAGGTTGAACACTGCAAATCAGCATCATTCTCATTATTTCGGTTAATAGACTATTTGTTTTGTTCTTCTTCTGTTTTTCAGCTGCTAAAGAAAACACGGGACTAGAACAATCACAGCAATAACAACAACAACAATAATAATATATTATAACAACCAAAGTCTAAAGGTAAAGATGTTTGGCAAAAAAAAAAAAAACAACAGAGGAAAAAAATGTGGCCAACAGATTCTTGGCAATGACAACCATTGAACAGCTATTAAATAAGCGGAAAGACACTCGGACATATGCATGTTTTTTGTTATGTTTTTTTTTTTGACTTTCCTTTCAGGGAAAGTAGAAAAAAAATACATGTACATATATGTATGAAAATTGCGCCGTTAAAATGGGGAAATTGGAAAAAAGATTTGTCATAGACAAAAACAAATCATAAGAATATTACCAAATATAGAGAAATTTAGTAATATTTTGAGGGATCCAGGTTGTTAATTCTAGGTCTATGACAATTCGAAATTAAAAGCTTTATCAATCCATCCCATGCCTATTTCTTCTTCTATATAGTTGTAATCACACGAAAACAAATATTTTAAAAATTTTATAATTTTTCCAAAACGAATTTTCCTTTTATTTCTCTGAGCTATGATAACACCCCCTTGTTGTCCAACCATCATCTACAATCTGTGCATGGAAAAAAAATATGGGGGTGTAAAATGTTAAATAAACAACAACAACATCAACTGCTCTTGAACTTGACATTCAAATTTTATGCAAAGCAACGAATGAAAGTGTCTGGGGAAGGCTATTCGTCAAATTCCGATGGCTGCATAACCATTTTTTTAAGCCATGTTGTTATTTTTGGCATTGCCATCATTAACGACGAGCCATCTTGACGACTTTTATTTAACATGCACTTGGGTTGGAGGGTTTTTTTTATCCACGTGTTGATTACATATGCACCGAGGTCTACAAACAAATGAAAGCAACAAAAATAATTGCAACTATGTTCAAATATACATACGTAGGGAGATACCCTACAAATGCTAGCTAAAGGCGATTGTTATGTAAATCGGGTGTGTGCACGTGTGTGTGTGTGGGAGAAATTCTTACACCTCTGTAAGCGTTTTTTTTTTTTTAAATATTGTATTTCATTTAAATGGAGAATGAAATGGAGGGGTAACAGCGTATTCCAACGAACTAGCATTCTGATATAAGTCAAAAATAAAATTTCCGGATAAGAATTCACTATAATTGGGCGACACGAATTAAACAAGCTAGGCGGTTTTGCCGACAGATGTTTACCCTCAGCCAAGGTTTGACTGTTGACCCTTTATTGGAGGAGGTTCCAAGGGAGAGGGCCAATATTATTCGTTTCGTATCTGACCTGAGTCTGATATGAATATAAGAATGCTCCAGATTTGGACTATATCGACTACCTCCTTCACTTTAAATGAAATAATTTTTTGGTAAATGTTGAAATGTGCATGAGGTACCAGATATAGAGGGCCTAAATATTTCACTTCATCTTATACTGATAAGAAACATCGGGGACATCGAAAATTAATTTCGAATTTTATGTGAGTAATTCAAAATTGCGATCTTTTGCGAGGGAGGTACCAGAAGGTAGGCCTATGTATCCCATCCTCACAGCAGATCTTGTGTTGATAGAAATATTGAGGTTTGCCGAGTCACAATTTTTCAAAAATTTGACCAGTTGTTTGGGAGGTACCAGAAGGAGTAGTCCGTTCTAGTTGTTTTTCATAACAAATCATGTTTTGGTACAAATATTGGGATGTGCAAAATTTGAGGGCAATGGGCCTCTTTTTTCACATTCTATAAAATATATGATTAGTCAAAATGTTAGACCATTGCGGCGGAGGTACTAGAAGGAGTGGTGCGATATTGCCCATTTTCTCATCTGACCTAGCAGTGATGCAAATATTTGGATTTGCAAAGTTTGAACTAAATCAGATGATCTTTCCTTGTTCTATAAGGTAAATTATTTTATGTGAAAATGTTCCCTTTTTGTGGAAGAGGTACCAGAAGGTGTGATTCGAAGTACCAAGTTTGGACCAAATTGGAGTATATTTTTTAATAATCACTTTCTGAAAGTAGATTTGTTTCTATTTTGAAATAGTTTTTACAGCAACTATAATTTTGGATTGTTTAAAATTCTTTTCTTGTATATGTCCTTAATAAAAGATTTTCTACAACTTGCAAAAATCACTAAATTAGCATCACTTGGAACAGAAATTTCCAATTTTGCGCTTACACTTCTTCCGTTCAAGTCTTTCCATCCGCCTGTCATTCAAAATGTTATTTACATGTATAAGTCATAGATATTTTCTTGCAAAAATACATCTTTGCAAAAAATTCCTAAATTAGCATCATTTAGAGCAGAAATTGTCAATGATAGAATAATGAAATAATCAGTATGCTTATTTCAAAGTTTG